AGTTTTGTCTAGACATTGGTCCCTGATGTCCAGCACCCAGAATGCCATTGCACCACCCATGTGGCTGGTGTGATGTGACTGATGCATTGAAATATTTGGGAATGTTCGGGGATTCTGGCCACTCCCTGGACACAGGCAGGGAGTGGCTGAGTCAATGGTGGAGACACGGGACACAGCAGGATCTCAGGATACAGGAAGTCATTTTACTTATGCTCCAGCATCTTCCTTTCTAAAGGACCTGCATAGAAAGCATTGTCTCAATACCCTGGACACAGTCACAGACTCTTCAACTCATGACAGAAAAACAATTAAAACTGTGCCGCTGACACAAATGCTCCACAGTTCCTATGGCTTAGTAAAAGCTACGGCTGCAAAGCCCTTGTCATCGACTCTCAGGCTACTCAAAGCTACCCCAGTTCACTGGGTGAACTCTAACAGTAAAACCCCAGATCCATGCTCAGAGCATCTGGGAGAGCGAATGCCCTCTATCAGTGTGGTTTCTAAGGTTGAAGCCCAGAGAACTGGCTGAAGCAGGTAACCCCTGGGTCATGTAGATTCTGTCACAGAACGCTAAAAGGGCACTGGGGTGTGGGCTCAGTAGGACACATAGTGCTTGTGTGAGAGTCTCAGGAGAGAGGCCAATAGACATTGGCTTACAGTTTTTAAGTCTGTAATAAATAATGATAGCTCCATGTATATAGTCAGCCTCCCAAAAGTTCCAAATCTCCAAAGTGTCCCCAGAGCCTCCCCTTCCAAACTCCGGGAAGCGTCCATACCAAAAGGACTGAATTCTTCCTCTCTGAAGGCCTCATAAGCTCAATTCCGTCTTAGGAAGAGGCAGGAAGCTGGGCGATCTCTAAGGACACTTTTATGAAATTGAACACAGAACCTTTTATCAGGAAAGGCTTGGAAGGTTTTAGCCCACAGCCCTCACATTCATCAGTGGCACTTCAGGGGGAGAAAATTAATGAGGATGCTAAGTGCATAATGACTTCTGGAGACCAGCAGGCTCCGTGTGGCTGGGTGTGCCTGGAGGCTTGCCCTGAAGCAATGAAGTTGTTGCCTGTGCTCTTGACCCCTCAGTTCAGGCTTCCAGGCAAAGAACTAAGGAGCTGGTGGGGACTTTCTCTTTCCTAGCAACTGAAAAAAAAACTAGTAGTTGGAGAACCATGGAAAGGAGACACTTGGGCTATTTTGAAAAAAAAAAAAAGAGACCTTTTGCTTTTAATGCTTCTTTAAAGTTTAAATGTAAAAATTCATAGAGTCAGCAAGAAGATAGGTCCTAGTCATAAAACAGTTATTTCACAGAGGTCTCAAGCACATTAGTTCATCTGTACTTCTCCAGATGGACACTGACAGCCAACTCCTGTCTGAGGAGACAGTGCTCTGTGTTCTAGAAGATGAATTTTAGGCTATCACCCAGTCAGACAGTTGGAAGTGTTTTTCTGGGTACCACCTCCCTTCCACCTACCCCAGTGCCGATATAGGAGTCATTTTTTTTTTTACTGACAGCTGTATTCATGGAGCCTGTTCATCTGATATTAGTACTGAAGTAAAGATGTGCCTTGCCTTGATAGACTCCATTCTGCAAGCAGCACTTAACTCCATCGCAAACACAGAGGCTGTAAGGTTGTGCTCCTTGGTGGGCACATGAACACCACTATCTGTCTGCCACCACTCAGGAGGTACAGGCTGAGAAACAACTCATTCCTAAGTTTGCAAAGGAAGCTGCCATGGCATTGATCTTTTGTGGCCATTCTGTAACTTATGTATACCCACAAATGCAGGCAGATGGAGGGATGATAAGCGTTAGTGAGAACTGTGTGGTGAATGTTCTAAGAGTTGCTATTACTAACTAGTTGGAACTAAGGAATTGGTGTGTTTTAGTCGATGATCAAGAGAGCTTGGGACTACCTGGTAAACCACAGCTGATGGAAACAACTCAGCTTTTGGATTTCCTGTTACTTCTGACACTGAGGAAAGACACACATGTCCATTCATGTTTGTAACATTGTACACTAGTAACAATTAGAGTCTAAGGTATTTCTAGAGGGAAATTCTCACTAAGGTGAAAAGGGGATATATTGGGGTATATTCCCAAAGTCAAAGACGGAGACAAAAGAAGTCTAGAACCCACAGGGCATCTGAAATAAGAGCAAGTGCTCTATGGAATTCTTAAGAGGGGAGATTGGAAACGGGTGAAGTGTCTCGAAGTTCTGGGGAAGCGGCCCTCCACTGAGGTATTGTGTTCCAAATAAAGGACCTGGGGTCTAACAAATTGGTATCCTAGGTGCCTGAAGCCGACTCCTGCTTCTGGAGCTGGCTGACTCACCCTGACCCTTTTTGGGTTTTACTGGGGAGCTGGGCAGAGCCATTTGATGTTCAACTCTAATTACTTTTGTCTGTATTCTTGTCATTAGAGGATAACTGTATTCTTGTTGTTAGAGGATAAACGGGCTTATAAAAGGCCTGAGTTCTTTGTGCTGAGATCAAAGGCAAGCCCCTTGGGAGATGGCAGGAGAAGGCAGGGGACAGGGTGTCCCTGGGACTTCCTCTGCCCTGTGGCTGGGCTGGGCCTCTACAGCACAGTGGAGTCCTCAGCCTTTATTCAGGAGCTTAGCCATGGCCACTCTTGCCAGGGTTCAAGGAGGTGGCTTGGTCTACAGCCTGGGGATGCTGTTCACTTACTCCTTCCGAAGGCAGGGGCTTCACAGTGTGGGAAGATGACAGGATCTGTGGTGTTTCCCTGGTAATAGACTCCAGTGGGCATTGTCTGGTGAGCCAGCTGTTCCTTGCACTTGTCTTTGGTCCTTGCTGTACCCATAGGAGCAAATTCAGTGCCCTTTAGTAGTGACAACAACCGCTCTGATCACAAAGTGTCATATGTTTGGTGCTCAACAGGTAGGTTCCCCCTCTTCCTGACTGAGGTGCTGTTGGCACACAGCAGCCCTTCTTGGCCTAGTGACCCAAAGCCATAGCTCCCAGAGCTTGTCGAGTTCCCCTCCCCGCCCCCCCCATGAGAATGAAGGGTCAGAGAGCTAACTCGTAAGCACAGGTGGTGCTGGTGACTTGTGGGCAACTGCAGAATAGTCTGTGCCACATAAAGGAGGTCATCTGGATACTATGAATGAATTAAACAATTAAAACAGCCATGGCACACATCTTTAAACCCAATGCTGGGGAGGCACAGACGTGCAGATCTCTGTGAGTTCCAGGCCAGCCAGGGCTACGTGGTGACACAGGGACAGCTAGACACCTGGCCTCAGAGGAAGCAGAGGCTCTGGAGTTGGGAGTTAGGATTCGTGACTAGGATCTCTGACTCTTAGGACGCTTGCGGCTTTCTTTGAGGTGAAATGGACGTGCTAACCAGAGAGCCGTGAGGAAGTTAAGAGTGACCTAGCTTCATTTCTGTTACACTATAAAAAAAACTATCCTAACAACAAGCATCACAGAGGAGAAAGGGGCTTATTTGGCTTAAAATTTCAGGTCACAGTCTATCGCTAGAAGTCAAGGCAGGCAGGAACACAAGCAGAAGTCACATTGCATCCACAGTCAGGAGCAGAGAGGAACAAATACGCATTGCCAGCTTGCTACTTTCTCAGCAAGACCGCAGTCTAGGGCCCTCCTAGTGAATAGTGCTGCCCTGGTGGACTTCCTACATCAATTAACAACATCATGTCTGGGGCACCCTCTAACAAGACAGTAATGCCCATGGGTCTGTAAAGGGTGCAGAGGCAAATCACTCCAGAGATAGTTTCGAGGAATAGAGTTGACCTCATTGCAAGTGAGCAACCACTTATACAGTGGTATCATGTGGACTGTGATTGCTTTACGGGCAAACCTGAGATACATATTCCTCATTAAGACTCTGTTTCCAGGTGATTCTAGCATTGAATCTAAGCAATGCAATGAGCTACCAAAATGAGTGACTTAGCACAGTGCCTGATATATCACAGGGGTTTAGTACATGACATGAGCTTTGTCAATATTGCCAAGCAGCTGCAATTCTTAGTGACTTGTTTTCTTCAAACTGTTTAGAAGAAGAACAAAATGGTCAGCAAGACACAGACCAAATAAAATCCCGGAAAAGACTCTCACTACAGTGACGTACAGTCAGTGGCAGTCACAGATGTGCCAACATTCACCTTTTAAGAAGACAAAACCATATTTCTCATTTGCTTGCTGCCTCTGTGAGGACACTGTGAGGGGATGTTTGTCTGCATTAACCACAACACATTCTCCTTTGACCCACAGAATTATTAATTATGCAGCAACAAACTTGCAGGTCCTGCTTTTAGGAATATAAAAAGTCATTATTAAATAGTGTTTTTCTGTTACAAGCTTGGCTTTCTATAAATTCTTATTGCCACAGCATGCTAAGGAGTAAAAAAAAACTAGTGGATATGTTTTTAAAGACATAACAAACAAAAAGAAAGAAGGAAAGGAAGGAAGGAAAGAAGGAAGGCAAAAAGAAGGAAGGAAGGAAAGCAAGCCAGCTGGGTGTGGTGGTATATCCCTTTAATCTGACCACTAGGGAGGCAGAGGAAGGCAGATCTCTGTGTCAACCAGAATGGCCTTGAGTCATTCCATGCACCCACAGATTAGATAGAGTCACAGCTCTGTCTAAACAGTGGAAATTGATGCTTTTCCTGATACCTAGGAAAGGCAAATCACCTGAGTACCAATGAGAGTAACATCCCATGACAGAATAGCTGTTAATGTATATAACAGATCGCGTAAGCAACTCACAGTTATGTATAACTGCTTCTGATTGGGGGGGGGTCTCCTCCTGGTTCAGTCACCTCGATGTGTCCTCACATGGTACAGCGGCGTCTTGGCATCTTTTCTTCCTTTATAAGAATACCAATCCCACTGTATCAGAACTGCTCACTCATGACCCCCACTGAACCTTAATTACTCCCTTAAAATGCCTTCCCTGTAACTTGGCCTCAGTCAGAGAAGGCAACTGGGGGCTTCAACACATGGAATGGAGAAGAGGGGCGCTCCCTTCTGCAGCACATATACTAAAATTGGAATGATACGGAGATTAGCATAGCCCCGTGCAGGGATGACATGCAAATTGGTGAATGTCCCGCCCCCCCTTTTGCCCCTTCCTCCTCCAGAGGTTGACTACCAAAGTCCAGCAATCAGAAGCCCGCTTTGGCTCACCTAATTAACATGCCCAATCAAAATTAAACACAGCATCCTGACATGGGGTTTCCCCCTTCATCATTATAAACCACTGTTTTCCTATGGGCCGTGTCTGTCTCCCTTCTATCCAGAGCAGTCCTTTGTCCCTGCTGGACAAATACCCCTGCCCTGTCCCCTAGCACTTCACTTCTCCCAGTCCCCTATCTCCTTTACCACATCCCAGCCCACTCTAGTGCAGACCTCCCTTCTTCCCCTTGTAAACACTGCACCTGCAAGGTCACTTGCTGCTGTTGTCTGCTTGGGTCAGGAAGCAGCCACTTCAACTTTTCTTCCCACTTATTAAAGGGTCTCTCTGCAGAAACAAAACCAAACAAACAAACAAACAAATAAAAGAGAAAGGGAGAGGAGGGTTTGAATCGGCCCTTAGCAACTTGCAAGAATCATATGTCAGTGGTGGGAAATAGCTAAGTGTGGTCAGTCACAAATAATGAAATTAAGAAATCCAGAAAGTTCAAAATGTTTTCAAAGTCAGCTTAAGAGTAGTGCAAGGAGTTAAGGTTAAAGCTCATAGAAGAATACAGAAATATAGAGGGGCCAAGGAGATAGCAGTTACAACGCATGCAATAACATTGGCCTGGTGTGGGTTGGAGGAATGGCTCTGTGGTCGAGCATGTATTGCTCTTGCAAAGGATTAGGGTTTGATTCCCAGCACCCACCTGGGGCAGTTCACAAAGGCTGAATTCTACTGCAGGGGATCCTATGCCCTCTTCTGGCCTCTATAAGCAACTGCATTTGCATGTATGTCTGCTCCCTCAACACATATGCATGCAAATAACTACAAATAAAAATAAATCTCTAAAAAAGTTTTAATCATCCAGCGTATACAGCAGTAGGAAAATATAGCATATAGCACAGAGATAAAACTTTATATCAAAAGTGACAGAATCAAATACAAATATTCTTAATTAATTAGCAACCTATTAACACTATTCTGTAACTAAAAAATGGTATAGAGGAAGATATAGCTTTAAGAAAAACCTGAATTACACTTCTAGAGATGAAAACTGCAATGTGTAAGAGGGAAGTACATGGAGTGGTACCGATGTCAGATTAGACACAGACAAAGGAAAGATTGGTAGACTTGAGAGCTCTTGTGTAGCTATTTCCCGTGAGTTGAAACATTTCTGCCTGGAAAGGGAGGACGGGGGGGACTCATAAAACCCCAGAACTAAATGAAACACACAAGGCACAAGAAGTAAATGAAACTTAGGAGTCTTCAAAAGTTCCTGACAGTTACAGTATCCACAAGGCCCCTGGCTCAGGTTACATATGCAATAATGATTTATGGGGAAAGGACATTTGGTCCAACCAACTAGCAGAGCTAACTGCAAACTGCACATGGATCCCAGGGATGCTCATTGCCCTTTTGGTGATGGAGCTGTCATTGTTATAAATAACCCCAGTTAGATCACTGGTTCCCTAAGCTATACTTGGGTGGAACTGTCTTTGGTCTGTCATCTAATGTGAACAGACATTTGTTCAGGCATCCCTGGTAAAAGTCACACAGGTGCATGCAATACAATTATCCCAAATGGAGGTCAAAGAGACAGAGTCATTTAAAAAACTGAACGGGGCACCGGGAAGTGGTGGAGAAGCTGAAATGACACCACAGAAGACCTTGTGACTGAGGTCCATGACAAGAAGGAGAGCAGGGGCAGAAGAAACACTAAAAAAATGATAGTGAGGAATTTTTGAAATTGGATGGAAATGACAAATTCACAGATGCAAGACACTCAACAATCTCAAGTTAGTGTAAGGAGAAGAGGAGGAGGGAAAAGAAGGAAGGAAAGAAAGAAAAAACACACTATACCTAAATTGCATGAAATCAACAAGAACCAAAAAGTTTGAAAAGCAGTCAAGAAAAAAAGAATCACCCACAGAAAGCAGCAGTACAACAGCACAACTGTACAACGATACAAGTGGAGGGGGGGCTCAAGCCTGTAACCCAGTACTCTGTGGGTTGGGGAAGGAGATTAGAACTTCAGAGGTTCAAGATCATCCTCCTCTTCATAGCAAATGCAAGGCCAGTCTGGGCTATGTGAAACCCTCTCGCAACCTCTCCTTGCTCTCCAAAAAACCCTCAGTGGAGTGGAAGTGAATTCATACAAAAGAAAAACTCATTTTTATGGAGTTTCTCTTAATTGGTTAGTCTGTAAAGGTGACACATTATGTTCCCCAAACTTACAATCAGGGACCAATAATAAAGAAAGCAGATACAAATACCTTTGTTTCAAAATGATGACATGAAGATAAAGGGGGCCATTGGTCCCCAGCAGTCATCATGGAGGACTATAGTGCTTGGTTCATAATGTTGAAATATAGCTGGGAAAACTTTGTGGGCTCCTTCATTAGGTTTAAACACTGGAAATAAATCTGTGGCTCTGGGATCTGCCTTCTAGAATCTTCTTCCAAACATCTGAAACACTCTTTGTTTTTTAAGATGAGAGTTAGCATTTGTTTGGAGCTGAGTGACTTTACCAGCTGGGGTGACTTTTCTCATTTTGGTTTTCTCTCTGTCCCTTTTCATCTAAGCCCGCATTATTTCTTTTGAAAATCTTTCCCAAGAAGTCATGGGCCTTGAAGTAAATTTCTCTGGGGGGTCACTTCATTAGACAAATCTTTTAATTTTGCCACAAAGAAGCCCTTCCGTGCTTTGGGCTTCTGTTCACACAACTGGGAGCAGCGTATTTAACTTTCCCCAGCCCTGTGGTTTGGTGGAGGGGGCCCATGTACACACCCTGCATTACCTGAAGTGGCCTTTGTGTGCTTGCATACTCTGAACGTCTGGTCTTTCTGAGATTTTGGTAAAAGATTCATAATACACTCCTGGCTTTCTCCTTTGTGCACTCTCCCAAGAGTTTAGAGTCTCTTGATTTCAGCATACATTGCCATTTGGTGGGGGGGGGCATTCTAAGATCATCAAGACTTGACTCTGTTTAGCATAACAGGTTTGTGCAAAAAAAAAGAAAGGAAGGAAGGAAGGAAGGAAGGAAGGTTTATTTTTTGGTGGGGTTTTTTTTTTTTGTTTGTTTGGTTGTTTGGTTGGTTGGTTTAGTTTGTTTTTTTTTTTAATTCCCCTCATCAGAAAATGTATAATAAGCAATAAGAAGACTCTGGAAATGTCACTGGATACTGGAGTTACCAGGTAGGCAATTTAGAGTTTTAAGAGACAGTTGGTCTCAGCTTCCTCAGCTGTTGTCACTGTTGTTACCAGCAAGGACTCCAGTTTCAGGGGATTTTAACTTCAGCAGCAGCTCAGTCCTGTCCTGAAGAATTCACATGGGAAACAGTAACAGTGGAAGCAGCTGACAGTTTAATTAGAGCAAAGAAGGAAGCCAGGGAAAGAGCAGGTCAAAGGCACAACAACAGCCCTGCCTGAGCCTGCCCCTTCTTGTTGCCCCTCCCTCTCTTGTGCCTCCTGCACCCAGGAGGGGGGTGTGCTTTTCTTAAAATCCCATATTGTCCAGAATTTAGACTGTTCAGTAGATGTATAAGATGCAAGAAAAATAGGAGTTTAGTAGATGCATTTAGAAGATGCATAATTTAGTAGAAACACAAGAGCAAGAATAACAGGGGTTAAGTGCACCTAAAGTTGAAAAGTCTTCGAGAATAGCAGGCAACAAGCCTCTACACACACTCTTCTTCATTGTTGTTGTTGTAGTTGTATGTGTGCTACACACACATGAACAACATATGTGTGAAAGACAAAGGACACTTTTCAGAGTCAATTCCAGTTCCATCATTAGCACCCTGAAATTGAACTCAGATGGCCAGGGTTATGTGGCAAATGGCTAGCCATTTGCAAATGAATAAAAGAGATAAGGACCCTGGAGGCATCTTACACATCTGTGTGCTTCAGCAGCCAAGTAGGGTTTGTCCCCAGAATTCAAGTTAGTTCAACATCACCTACTCAAACAATGTAAGCTGCCATATTAGTATTTTATTTAAAAAACGTCATTTCTATAAGTTCAGTTGATGACTTCTCCTAGGAAAACTGGAAACAACGAAGAAATGAAATTTTTGATGTGTCAAAAGCAAGACATGAATGAAGAGAAGGAATTTGTAGAGAGGAAAAGAGACATACAGGGATGGGAGGGGTGAGAGAGTGGAGTGAGAATAATTAGAATGTACTAGAATATGCATGTATGAAATTGTCAAAGAAACAATTTAGAAAAATAAAAAATACAGAACAGTGTATACTAAGGTAATATTTTTCATTTAAAGGAAACAATGCTAAATAAAGACATCTATCTAATAATGTTAAAATCCAGACCAGACTCCTGCTCAGGCCATAGTACATTCTGGAGCCTGCCTCTCTCATTGACAGGCACCTTCCTGAGACCCCTGTCTGAGTCTTTCTAGGTGACAGATACCATGCTGCCTTGGTTTCCCACCTGAGCATGAAGACACTTTTGTTAAACTATCACCATGAAAAATGTTAGAGATTTTTTTTCAGCCCAAAATGAAATATGCCAAATGAAACCCTGGAGTTCCTAGAAAGAATATGGGCCAAAAGAAAGGATAAAGGTAAAAGAGATAGCAAAAGCTATTGTGTATGCGGATATACAATTCACTTTACATCTACAGCACATGAGAAAGTAAAAACAGGCAGTGAGCGTGGTAAATTAATCACAGTCAGTTTGAATGACTTGTCTGCCTCAGGAAGAAGGGCTCTGACATTGTCCGTAAGGAATTAAATACTATGTGAAAGTAGAGGGAATGTAAATATGCTTATTATGATTTTCAGATCAACCACACAGATACAGTACAAAAGTCAACAGAAGAGCCCAAACAGAATACTAAAAAACATCCAGTTTATCCAAGAAAAACAGCGAAGTAGGACTAGAGGAACAAAAAACTTATGGCATAAATAGAAAACAAATGCCATGATGGGGG